ATAAGAGAGGTAAATAGGGAGCCTACATCCTGGGAACAAATCTTTACTCCTCACACTTCAGATAGAGCCCTAATATCCAGAGTATACAAAGAACTCAAAAAATTAAACAATAAGAAAACAAATAATCCAATCAACAAATGGGCCAAGGACCTGAACAGACACTTCTCAGAGGACGACATAGAATCAATCAACAAGTACATGAAAAAATGCTCACCATCTCTAGCAGTCAGAGAAATGCAAATCAAAACCACCCTAAGATACCATCTCACTCCAGTAAGATTGGCAGCCATTATGAAGTCAAACAACAACGAGTCCTTGCGAGGATGTGGGGAAAAGGGTACACTTGTACATTGCTGGTGGGACTGCAAATTGGTGCAGCCAATTTGGAAAGCAGTATGGAGATTTCTTGGAAAGCTGGGAATGGAACCACCATTTGACCCAGCTATTCCCTTTCTTGGTCTATTCCCTAAAGACCTAAAAAGAGCATGCTACAGGGACACTGCTACATCGATGTTCATAGCAGCACAATTCACAATAGCAAGACTGTGGAACCAACCTAGATGCCCTTCAATAGACGAATGGATAAAAAAAATGTGGCATTTATACACAATGGAGTATTACTCTGCATTAAAAAATGACAAAATCATAGAATTTGCAGGGAAATGGATGGCATTAGAGCAGATTATGCTAAGTGAAGCTAGCCAATCCCTAAAAAACAAATGCCAAATGTCTTCTTTGATATAAGGAGAGTAACTAAGAACAGAGTAGGGATGAAGAGCATGAGAAGAAGATTAACATTAAACAGGGATGAGAGGTGGGAGGGAAAGGGAGAGAGAAGGGAAATTGCATGGAAATGGAAGAAGACCCTAAGGGTTATACAAAAGTACATACAAAAGGAAGTGAGGGGAAAGGGAAAAATAATACAAGGGGGAGAAATGAATGACAATAGAGGGGGTAGAGAGAGAAGAGGGGAGGGGAGGGAGGGGAGGGGGGATAGTAGAAGATAGGAAAGGCAGCAGAACACAACAGACACTAGTATGGCAACATGTAAATCAATGTATGTGTAACTGATGTGATTCTGCAATCTGTATATGGGGTAAAAATGGGAGTTCATAACCCACTTGAATCAAAGTGTGAAATATGATATATCAAGAACTATGTAATGTTTTGAACAACCAACAATAAAAAATTTAAAAAAAATAAAGTGAGTTTAGCTCACTTTCCTACATGTGAATGGATGTACTAACAAACTCACGGCTAAATATGAACTCTGCATGTTACCTCGTTCCAGTTTTATAATTGGAGTTTTTGAACATCCAGACAGACAAAATACAGTGTGATCAAATAAAATGTTTTCCTCCTAAAAAAAAAAAAAAAGAAAACAAATTCTAAAGTTTATCAGGAAGAATAAATATGCCTTGTTAACTAGCAATTTTTTTCACAAAGAGAACATGAGACAGCTTTTTCCCTTCCAAAAATTAAAATGTACTGTAAATTTAAAAACAAGACAGTTTTAGCGCAGCACAGTGGTACATGCATGTAATCGTAGCAGCAGAGGAGACAGAGCCAGGAGGATCACAAGTTCAAAGCCAGCCTCAGCAATTTAGTGAGACCCTGTCTCAAAATGAAAAATTAAAAAAGGTTGAGGATGTGGCTAGGTGGTTAAGCACCCCTGGATTAAATCCCCAGTACAAAAAAAAGAAATAGAAATAGACATATTGAAATCATAGAGTACAAAGTTCAGCCATAGACTTAGGTGTGCATGTGAATTTAGTGTATGACAAAAGTGGTATATGATTTCACTGAAATCATTTGACAAGTGAATTGGGAAACCTGGGATAATTACTGAAACAGACTTACTAACCTCACTGTTTTACAAACTTAGAATGTAATAAAACATGCACACATCCACATATCAAATTGTGTGAACAGTAGTATAAAGATAAAATTTAAAGAATCCATAAATAGAAATCATTAAAAGCAAATTTATACCATACATTGGAAATTGTTTTTTAAAATAATTGTTTATGCCTTATAAAACTTATTATTTTACACAATCTCATTCTCTGAGAATGGGGCTAATCAACTGAGTGAACAATGATTTGTCTGTTACTAACACTAACTCCATTCCTTTGACAAAAATTCAGTGACTTCTATAATTTAGCTATTCCCTCTAACATGGTTTTTGTTTTTGACCAAAAGCCCTATCAGCATAGCTAAATCAGATTTATTTCCTCTGTGATAAAATCAAACTAATCAGCACAGAGACCTCTCTCTGATTACAATTATAGCTTTTTTTCACAGTAGCCCCAGCAAGAGTGTCCATTTTGACCATAGCTGGTCCTGCGTCTCCCCAAATGGCATCAAATGACAAATGATTAGGAACTTTTTAAAGGACAAATCATCATTTCCTCTACAAGTTGTATACAACATAAAATATATTTTTAAAAGTATATTCCATTTTAGAAAGCATCAATAAGATGATAAAATTGTAAAAACTACATGTTACAATCACCACTACCATATGCATGCCAAGTATCTAATAGGGGCATATGACAAACACACAGTGAATAATTATAAGAGAATAAAACATAATAGACTGCCAGATGTTACACCTCTTTAAAAAGTTTCTAATTCTTTTATAACTGAACCTTCAGGTAGAGACTGGGACTGGATCTTCTTTGGGTCTTTCTGAGGAAGTTGGGACTTCTGTGGTTCTGGTCAGGCAACATCATGGTCAAAAAACTAGTGTAACAACAGGATTCATATTCTCTGCTTATATTTCTTCATCAAAGAAGGCTCATAATTATAAGCATTTTTTCCAATTTTAATCCTTTTAAAAAATATTATTGAAACAATTTCCACAGTATCTACCTCACCAATTCTCATTACCCACAAAAAACTCCTCTACCTACATCCAAAGTCACTTTGATGATACCTCTTTTTTTAGTTTTTCCCTATCTATGTCTCCTGTTCATGGCATTCAATTGTTTTCTCCAATCCAATCAATTTTTGTCACAAGAAATTATTTGACATAGCAATATCTTGGAAAGTAGTTTAGCAGAACCAGAATGTTATCTTATGTGTCACCAGAATGTTATGTTATGTGTCAAGGAATATCCAAGTCTAGAAACATCCACTCATTAAGGACTTTGTCCCATCACATTTGTAGATGATTACTAAATGTGCATTAAGTGAATCAATGACTGTAAAGTAAAAGGAGAGAATTACTTATGATGTGAAAGAAAAAATTTTGGTCAGAAACAGAAAATCCAGGCCCTAGTCGGAACACTAATCTTAGCTATGTTCTGTTGCTTTTATAAGATTGTTTTCACATGGGATAAAACATGTAAACATGGTTTGTAAACATACTTTTTCTAAATCAATAGAAAGTATCAGTGGTAGATATTTGTAGTTTTACATTGACATCAAATGAACCCATGTGATCATTTTTAAATTCCCACATTTTACTAAGAACTCACCAAAGAAAATGACCTATATTCTTAGGGTTTTAATGTGCTAATTTTCACAAATTATTAGCTGCACAATACAACAAAATATCATTAACTCAGACTCTCATAATTTGGAATTTATCACAAGAGATGCATTAAGGTATAAATAATATAGACCTTTGTGGCTAAAGAAGGAACCACAAACTTGAAATAATAACTCTTCAACTAATTATGTATGATTTTAGAAATTTCTCTTAAACTCTCTGGTTTGGGTTTGTGTTTAAAGTGAGCTAAATTATACAATCAATCTATTTCATCACCATATAATTCTACAATTCTTCATAAGCTGGATAGATTTTTTTTTCCATTTTTGCCTTTTCATATGCAATGTTTCTGGAAATGAAATTATTTCAGTCTGCATGTTTTTTAACCTGAAGTTCATAAATAGCCCTGAAGAGGTCACATGACTTACCTTAAGTTGGGTGACTTTTGTATGCATTTTTTGGGGGGACAGAGGTTTATAGCTTTCATCTGAATATCAAAAAGTTCTATGCAACTTTCAAAAAAAGAAAAACACATTAAGAACAAGTTACTTCAATAATGAACTAATTCCAAATTATTATCAGCTTGCAATAACAAGCTCACAAAGTGTTACTTAGTAATCCTTTATCATTTCCATAACAATTTGAACCCCACATCAAGAAGCATAATAGAAGCTACATTCCAAACTTTCACCAACTTACTCTTCCCATCTGATGATGGGGTACAAAGTGCATCTATCCAGTTCACATCATTATATTGAATGCCTTGAACATTGCCTACCTCTAACAGTCTCACAGGAAGCAAGAAGGAAAATGTCCACCAGTTTATTTCTAGAGGGGAAAGATAGCTGAGGTATAACCATATTCTCACCTGAGTTGGACTGTGATTACAGAACTCTAGAAGATAATGGAAGAGTCAGCTGGCAAGGATGAACAAATCATCTCTAAGTTAAGCCTTATAATTTCAGTCAAGAAAAAGAGGGGACTCAAAGTCCCAAAGTGGGATCTTACCAGTTCATGCCACTACATCATCTAGCAGGGGTAAGACAAAACCTAATTATAAAATTCAAATGAGCATGTCACCCAAATTGCAATTCATTTCTTTTCATTGAAATTCATCAGTCAACAACCTCCTCTTTTATTAAAAGTAGACTTAGCATAAAAATTGCATAAATATGAGTTTTACCTGATTTATTAACATAAGCAAATAAAATAGCATGTCTTATATGAGGTATAGGTTTGAATTCAAATTCTTTGTCATTATCAGGCCTATAGAAGATATTCAGTAGTATAAAGTTGCTTATGTGACACAAACAATTTGCTTTTCAAGAATGCTTATTTGTCTTAATTGACAATTACAGAAAGAAAGGGCTTCATTCATTAGTCTTTTTTTAAAAATAGATAATATATAAAATTGATTTAATGCATGTGATTTCATTCTTCTACACTTCTGGTAATTGTCTTTTAAAAATCTAATAATGTTTGCATTTCATCTGTCTTTTCTCAGGAGTATTGTTCTAAACCCAGCCTATTTCCGAAACCATCTTCGTCAAGCAACAGTGTTTAGATGTCTGGAGAGATATTCAGAAGCTGCCCGGTATGTTTGTTATAACTTTGTGAAGATTTATTTGAAGTTAAATTAATTTTGTTCCCAGATTCTGGTAATAGCATAAGAGAACTTTCCATTTCTCTCATGGAATATGATTTTACCCAAATTATTGTCTTATAAATGTCAAACCACCAATTATTGACTATCTTTTTCTTTAATTAAAGCTATTTCTTGTTCATAACTCTTAGCGAATTCAAATTTTCCAGTCATGAGGTCACTGACAATGATGGGAAAACTTGCACAGATAGTAGAAATGAACTTGACCTCTACTCTGGAGAACATTCCTGGTCAAGATTGTAATGACACAATTCTGTGACTCTTGTGTTCTGACGATAAATCCATTCACATGGAAAGGATCCCAGCAGTCCATTTCTAGAGGAGGTGGTATCAATTAAGTAACACCAAGAATTGTTAGTATTGTTTCTTGGATCCCAATGTGTTTTCAACAGAAACCTAATGAAGCAGCTCCTAATATTCTCATCCCAAGAACCTAGACTATGACGAAAACTGATAAAAGTTCTATAACAGAGGCTGGGGTTGGGGCTCAGTGGTAGCACACTTGGGTGGCATGTGTGAGGCACTGGGTTCAAGTCTTAGCACCACATATATATACATAAATAAAATAAAGGTCTATCAACAACTAATTATACACACACACACACACATACACACACACACAATACTCTGAATTCCTTCTCACCTGTAACAACCAAGGCTTTTTTTCTCCCTCTGGGATCAAGCTTATTACAGCAGAATCCTATTCTCAATGACTTTTCCCTCTCTCTCAAATATATAGAATGCTGATTCTTACTCAAGTTTACCAGTCCAGGAATTCAGTGATAAAAAAACGAGTAATTTCTGGATTTAGGCTAAGCATAACACCTAAGGATAAATCTACGGTAACAGGCATGGTATGCCTAGGTCAAAGATAGCTACTGTCTCTAGAACATTTGGAAATAACATTTTCTTTGAAACTGGAAACAGGAGTCAAAGTGGGAAATGAAATCTCCATAAAATTGATACTGTGAGATTGACGTGACTTCCATTTATGTAAGATGGTTCCAGGAGTTGCCTGAACTCAATTAAACATTGGATATGAAAGGCAAAGTGAATTCCAACTGCTGTCACTTTGCAGTCAGACAACAAATAGGGCACATCAGCTTTTTGTCTGTCTCCATCATTCTTTTTTTGCATTCCATTTTCCCCATAATATTCTTTAAATGTGTTTTACCTAGTATACTCACATATACTAACTGTATGAATGAGAGAGAAATTAAGAGATGATAATAAGTATCCTTCTGTCCCACACTTCAAAAAGCGGATTTTTATAAAGGTCATCAGCTACAAACAAAATTAATATCAAGATTCAGCATAAACAGAAAATAGGAATCTGCAAAATAGCATTCCTTAAGAGGTGGTTTGTTAATGTGTCTTGAATCCAACCAAAAGATCAATAAAAAGCAAGCTATACCTTCAGAACTAGAGTGTAACTAATAGAGAAACTGCTAGGGGTATACTCGTGCAGGCTTGCAAGAACAGCTGCTTATATAATCAGGATTTGGGGAGGATTGTTAAACTGTAGGAGAAATTAGAAATTCTGGGAGAAAGTTCTATGGAAATTGGCAAATGCTACAAATCCAGGCTTCATTATTTGTTTATATTAAGACATATAGAAGTTTGCAAACCATTGGCTAGTACCTAGAACTGGTAAAATGGAGTACGAAATAGCTTCTATATATTGAGAGATGGGGAAAACTCTTTGAGAACAGGATTCTGTTACCAAAGTGATAACAAATTCTTTATGGGTCCTAAAACAAGCAAGCAACAAGAAATTGAAATTAGGAATTTGTTAGTATTTGCCACCTAACATAAGTACTATATATTCCATGTTCTTGACTGCAATAGGCGTACCTGCTTAACATCATTTGATGATTGACATGACACAGTGCTCCTTGAGAAAGTTCCTGGTAACTGCTGGCTATACTGGTATGAACTTTCCAACAGAGAAACAGAAATAATTATCAAATATGAATGTTTTTCATTTACGTTTCCTTGGCAATTACAACCCTTGACATAAAGTACACATCATCCTCTCCCCCAACCTCAAGGGAAGAATGGTATGAATCATGAACATGAATATCTTAGCATTTCTTAGCTATAACATCTTTAATGTAAATCAATACGTATAGCATTCATTTTTATCAACCAATCTCCTAGAGACTCGGATAATTTGCTTCAGGCCTTTCGTAAGCATGTTATTTTAAAACTCATTAGTAACACCAACACACCAAGGTTATTGCCTTTAGGATGATAAGTAGTCATATTTCTGGAATTGGCAGTCACCTACCAAATACTAAAGGAATGCCATTGTTACATGAGTTAGGCGATCTAGACACCATGATTCCCAATGAAGTGGACCAGCCAAAAACTCATCCAAAATAGGATATTTGTAAGTAGCCCCTGGGAAATTTGAATGCTTGAGTTTGTTTGAGCCCAAACACCTCCACCCATGACAGCCTCCTAAAAGCTCAGGCTCTCGTCCAAGGACACTAGAGGACATGCTACTGTCTATGGTTAAATGGAAGGCATCCATCAGATTTAGAATAAGCAGATCCTTTTAGTTTATATGTCAGTGTCCTTCCAATAATATCCTACTGAAAGAAGAAGCAAGAATATATAATGGTAGAAATTAAATAAAATTAGGGATATTGTATTATGGTTTAGGCTCTACAGGGATGCTGGTTACCCTTGAGGAGACAGCTGGCCATGGTTAAATTGATGAAATCACATTTTCTACCACCAAACTAAATTAAGATTACCATAACCACCACCATTCCACCCCAATCCCCAAGAGTCAGCCACCCTTTGAGACCTTTTCTGAAATAGCATGTAGTCTCACTCTTTAACATCTTTATTTTTATATAATAATATCAGTGTTGTTATAGACAGTCTTTGCTCAAATCTGCCCTTAGTCACCCAACTATATATGTGAGTGCACACACATGTGCTCATACACACATATCCCATTTGGAAGTTTTAAAACTCATTGGTAACACCAATACACTAAGTTTATTGTCTTTCTGATGCTAAGTAGTCATATTTCTGGAATTGACAGTCACCTATCAATTCCTAAAAAACATTCATTTCTGATACCTTCATGAGAAATATGATTGAATGAGAAAATACACAAAGAGAGACAATAAAATCCAAGATTGACAGTTCTGTGAAGAGACCTAAGACTCCTGACAACATGATTAACATGGTATCTTTCATCTCCATGTGCTCAATAACTAGCTCCAAGCCTAGAATGGAACAGCACCAGCAAGGGAATTATGAGTTAATTTAGCTAATTTTTGAGTCTGTGGTGTTATGTTATTGATAACTACTCAGTTATATCAGTAAGAAGATTATGGATCTTCTATAGTGAAGATCCATAATGAAAAAAAATAGATTTCATTGCAGGGTATATGTGCATGAAGAAGCAAACAGAAGGAAATGCAGCAAAGCCTCTTCATCCATCACTGATGAAGAATTAGCTGTATGATTCTAAATATGTGAGCTAGACATGGGATTCTGGAGCACAAGCAACACACTCCAAAACTTGCAAAGTCCAGGAAGATGTAGCGTGTGTGGTGTTCCAATTACAAGGAGTATTCTGTGAATGACAGTGAACTGGAGAACATTAACTAGAGTGACCATGTATTTTATCTTTCAAACTAGACACTAGTGGAAGTGAAAGTGGATCTGATTAATAATCTATCCCAGGAAAACAGGCATAAGTCAGGACTGTCCCAAGCACATATGCTATGTGGTCACCCTACCATAGGCCTTTCTAAAGGTAGTGCCCACTGCTCAAGTCCTTCAAATGTTGCTATATAGGAATATAGGCTGTGTTAGAAACCTTTTGAACCTTCAAGAGAGAGTATAAATTCAGAGCTTTTCAGGAAATTTCTTGACTTTTAAACGTTGGGAATTATTTAAGTTTTTTTTTTTAAACACAGTGTCATCTTTAAAAAGTTGAAGTAGATCTATTCATTAAAATATAATGCACTAAAGAATCATTTTGCCAAATGACCAATTTGTAGAAGTCACCAAATTAATGCTCACTACAAACTTATTTTAAGAAATAGTCTTACCTAATATACTTAATTAATATGGACACATTTTCTTACCCATACATTCCTTATTAATATGTTGAACATTTTTCTTATCTTTAGAGAATTTTGAGTATTTCAAGAGCTAAAATCATAGAATGGTTGTTCTCCTTAATGTGTTCTTCTATGTGTGAGTGTCACTCTATTGTGCTTGAACATATTTTTTTTCAGTATAACTACCTCTTCATTCAATCTGCTAACATGTGTCCTTTTTATTGGTCCTTTTTAGTTATACATAACAGTAGAATCCATTTTGATATAATTATAGAAGCATAGAATATTATCTTATTCTAGTTAGAATTCCATTCTTGTGATGTAAATGGTGCTGGGATTCACTGTGTTGTTTTCATATAAGTATTTGGGAATATTATGTCAGATTCATTCCACTATCTTTTCTTTTCCTAACCACCCTCACTTCCAACACACCAAGTTTTATTGTCTCTATTCCCCATTGTCTAATCTACTGAATTTCTATTCTTCCTCCCCTTATTATGAGTTAGCATCTACATATTAGAGAAAACATTCAACCTTTGGCTTTTGAGAACCAGCTTATTTCACTTAACATGATGCATCATTTGCTGACAAATATAATAAAGTCATTCTTCTTTATGCCCAAGTAATACTCCATTATGTATATGTACCACAATTTCTTTATCCATTCATCTTTTAAAAGGCACCTAGGTTAGTTCCATAGCTTAGCTATTATGAATTGAGCTGCTATAAATATTGATGTGGCTGCATCACTGTAGTTTGCTGATTTAAAATCCTTTCAATATATACCAAGGAGTAGGATAACCAGGTCAAATGGTGGTCCCAATTCAAGTTTTCTGAGGA